TCTTTCTGACCACGACACCTCTTTACTTATGTTTCTATAATTGTACAATTTGTAAGTCTTTCTGCCCACGACACCTTTGTACTTATGTTTCTATAATTGTAAGATTTATAAGTCTTTCTGACCACGACACCTCTTTACTTATATTTCTATAATTGCAAGACTTATAAGTCTTTCTGACCACGACACCTCTTTACTTATGTTTCTATAATTGTAAGACTTGTAAATCTTTCTGCCCACAACACTTCTTTACCTGTGTTTCCAAAATTAACTACGTGGGTGTATCGTCCTTTGCTCTTGAGCATTAGGTTTATTATCAAAGTTGCGATGTTGAAGATTTTTAACGTACATTTAATCAGAAACCAAATTACTCTGGTTTATAGAATAACTTGATTGTTTTCACCAGAATCCTGTGAAATCCTGATCAAAGATCATACTAGAATATTTATATATTTTTTTTTCTACCAGAACGTTGGTAATTCTAGATACGATCACGCCAGTCTGGTTTTAGTTAATTGTTTGTTCATTACTATCAGCATGTGGTCACAGATCATACAAACATTGTTTAGTGAACTGTGTTCTGCTTTCCATTAGCAAATCACGTAATTCTTATAATGATCGCAAAGCATTCCAACATAGCAGAGAGAACTGTTTACACCTTTCATTCAAGATACAATTCAATCACTGAATAAATTCAAATAAATACCTTGACAAACGACTACCATTCGTTCTCACTGCAGACTGAGAGTGGATGATGTTTTAAGTAATTGTTCGTCTCAATTTTTAAAACGTTAAAAGTAGATTTTTTTTTATATTTAAGATGAAGAAGTTATTGAAACCTACAGGTATCACATACTGTTTTATTATAAGCTCTCCCATTGAGACGTAGTTAATCACAGATTATTTTCACATAAAGGCACTGACTCTGTAAACTAATAAACCTCGGCCTAAACTGCATTCATGTGTACTGATGCTTAGGGTCTAAGGACATATATCTTAGTTCTCACCATGTCGCTAGTAATACAGTTTCAATGATACTACATGTACTGATGTTTAGGGTCTAAGGACAAATATCTTAGTTCTCACCATGTTGCTAAAATTACATTTTATAATACTACTACATGTACTGATGCTTAGGGTCTAAGGGCAAATATCTTAGTTCTCACCATGTTGTTAAAATTATATTTTATAATACTACTACATGTACTGATGCTTAGGGTCTAAGGACAAATATCTTAGTTCTCATCATGTTGCTAAAATTACATTTTATAATACTACTACATGTACTGATGCTTAGGGTCTAAGGACAAATATCTTAGCTCTCACCATGTTGCTAAAATTATATTTTATAATACTACTACATGTACTGATTCTTAGAGTCTAAGGACAAATATCTTAGTTCTCACCATGTCGCTAGTAATACAGTTTCAATGATACTACATGTACTGATGCTTAGGGTCTAAGGACAAATATCTTAGCTCTCATCATGTTGCTAAAATTACATTTTATAATACTACTACATGTACTGATGCTTAGGGTCTAAGGACACATATTTTAGCTCTCACCATGTTGCTAAAATTACATTTTATAATACTATTACATGTACTGATGCTTAGGGTCTAAGGACAAATCTCAGATCTTTCATCAAATCACTAAAAATACAATTTGTAATAGTACTATATATATATACTGATGTTTAGTGTTTAAGAATAGATCTTTGAGCTCTCACTATAACTAAAAATACAGTTTGTAACAGTGCCCTTCAACAGTCTTCGTTATTCCTTACATTATCATATAATCACAATGTTCCATTTTACCGCCGAGTATAGGTGAATAATTTTATATAAGCTGGGAACTTATTTAGAAAAACAACATGCTACTTTTATATGTTTTACCTGTCCGTGTTGGAAACAATATGGCTGATTTTTTGTTGTTTTTTTCTTTTACAGAAACGTATCACTAAACATACGACGTACGCCATTATGTACAACGCTAGCAGCCAGCCAATTTTGGAGAATATTCAAGAGGACAAGTATATTTTGATTTGTAAAGATGGGTTTAAAGATGTGATCTGTGTCTTAAGCCTTCAAATTTACAGAACATGGCATCAACAACAACCAAGCCCTGCTGGTAGTAAATCAACCAGACGTGTTTCTAACCAGCTACAGCATCTCTACAAATATCAAAGGCCTCTTGTTCGACTCAGGATCAACGTCTCACGGGCTGTTGTTCCATTGAAAACAGTATCATCTGTAAAATACAAGAGTGAAGCAAAAAATGATCACTTTTTTTTTATAGATTCTGAAAACCTTTCTTTGTTTTCGCGACAGTTGGTATTTCGAAAGACTCACCACTCGCTTATATATATTTATATATTCGTATAGCCCTATGTCAACTTGTATGTTAATTCATTATTCTAGAAAGGCTTTAACATACTGGCTTTGAAGTTCTATGTAAAAGTCACCATGAACAAACGATTGAATCTAACAAGCTTCGACGTTACTACTAACTCTAAGGTAAAGTTGATGAACAAGAAACATCCTTGGGCATAATGTCGTTTTTGTTGAGCGTAAACGAGAACAAAAGATTAACATCGGGAGGGAAATAAATTATTCGTGAATATATTTACAGAAGTCGGTGCTGCTGATAAAAAACAAGAACTGTAGTTTAGAAGGGAAAAAAACAGTACTTAAGAAAACAATTCATAGCAATAGAAGAAACTTCAAGATGGCTAAAACTAAAAATATGGTACATGAAATATAAAATAATTTTATAAATGATACACAGACATATCCACGAGTGCAAAACAATCAAAATAAAGTCCATAGCGTTTTGGTTAACGGTGTATCTGTTTAATCATGCTTACTGTTAATTACAGATTACATCAAAATATCAGATCTTTCAATCAAAATTAAAAACTGCCTTATTCCTTATCGTTTTATAATTAACTTACTGGAAGGTCTTGGATTTACAAATAAACTCGATATATTTTTTTAAATCATTGATACAACAAAATACTTGAAAGATCTTTACATGTAAGAAAATCCCTGAAATGATCTGAATCTGATTAAACAACGTTTCTGGTTTTGCCTATTTATTTAAAACTATTTAAGATGATTTATTGAAATACGACAACGCCTGTTTTTTTAATAATAAATCAACCGTATTTCTTTCTTTGTTTTAGCGCAAAGCTACACAATGGACTAACTGTGCTCTGTCCACCACGAGGGATCGAATCCCAAATTTTAACTTTGTAAATCCGTAAATTGACCGCTGACTCATCGGAGTAAATAAATCAATCAACCAGCAATAAAACTCCGTCATCCAAAAAGAAGACACCTTCCTCTTCATTTTATTTTCCCCCAGTATGTAATAAAAACATATATCAAAAACATATATCACCTGACAAAGTACACAAACTACTGAAGTATCTTTTCGAGAGAATTAGACCTTTTAAGTCTGAAAATATGATAATCCAGAATTACTTCAAGACTATGTCCCCTGCTGGATAAACCTGTGGGCTTATAACACTATAATTCGGAGTTCGATCATCGCGGTGACCACGGCACAGATAGCCCATTGTGTGACTGTGTGCTATAAAAAAACAAACTGTAGAATAAATTATGTTTATCATCAACAACCCCTTCAACCTATAATTAGGAAAACAAAAGGTTCCTTGGCTTTCTTTGTTTTAAGCGCAAAGTTATAGAATGGGCTCTCTGCATTGTGCCCACCGCGGCTATCGAACCCAGAATTTTAGCACTATAAGCCCTGAAGCTTTTCGCTGAGCCTCCTGGGGACATTTTCATTATAATTGTATGCCTTTAATGCGTTATTGACTCGTGATAAAGTTAACTGAATATTGTTACGGATTCTATAAATCTTAAAGACTTCTTCTATCTACATCTTTCACTTCGGAGCAACAAAGGAAGACTCTTATAACACTGAAAGGAGTGCCTGGCATGGCCAGGTGGATAAGGCGCTCGACTCACAATCTGAGGGTCGCG